GCAAGACAGTAAGGTCGCGTGGTGCAAGATCAGGGTCCGTTTATCATCGTACAAGTCTACGAGGTATTTCCACGCTGCCTCGTAGTTGTCTTCCGTCATTGTGAATGCCCTGATGGCCTCCTTAGCACTGCCCGTTACGGATTGCTGCAGATAACACAACTTCTGAATTTCACTTAGTCCCTTCTGCTGATGGATGAACGTATTAAACAAGTCCTTGAAAGAAAGCCATGACTCGATCTTTCCGTTGAACACCGGCAGGTTAATTTTTCAAAACCCATTTTGATTTTGTTTTTAAGGTCCGCTGCTATATTCTTCTATTATATTATACTCAGTGCAAAAGTGCTAAACGAATTATGTATATAACTATAACTGTATATTTTATAAATGAACTAAATATGTTTCGCACTTATATATGTAGGATGGTTTTTGGATCGATCGACTTTAGATAGTATTATTGACTTCTTAACTCTTTGCGGCGCAGGATTTCAGATAATAAAATAGACCCATGTTGCACACAAATTTTATTACGTTTTAAATAAAACAAAATTGGTATATTTTAACTGTGGCAGCTAAGATTCCGCCACTACGCCCATGCGAAAGGAGTAGGGACATTAGGGTCGCGGGTGCATCGGGTACGTCCCCGCAACACAGCAGCAGTTGCTGCCGGTCAACAGGCATTGTCCCGCGGATGGCATTGGCTATCGTCGATGTCATGCCGGGGATTAGCCTGGGACCAGGCAGCGATGTTGCAGACCAACGGTCGTTTTAATTTACGACCTCCCTGGGCGGTCAGCACGACTTTCCCGTGCGAGGGTGGTTCCCGCGGAAACTTAGTTTTCCCGCACGCGGGTTGGCGGGTTTTCTTCTACCCCTTCCGCGAACACTCGACCGCTTTAAAAGTTCTGGAGTCAGAGGACGAAAGGACAGTTGGAAACCGTCTACAACGCCGTGACGATTGTCCCGACGACCACGACGAGCACCGACACTTGTTGCGACCCACTTCATGACTAATAAAGGAATCACATAATGTAAAAACATAAAATCAAGAAAAAAGATTGTCGCGATAAACCTTCCGCTTGCAACAATTGATGAACCTGTATGTTGCGGCCTCAGGACTGCACCTGCCAAGTCTTCGCGGAGACTACTTTCTGTCCTTATCGCCGGCGTCCTTTGACTCGTGCGAACTCGATGCCACCGGTCACCGCTTTGGTGATTCTTGATAAGGGTCGGTAAGTCATTCTTGAGACAATGAGTACCAAATTGTTTGATCATTTACCGCCACCGGGGGACGTCGAATCTTGCGCACGATATTATTAATAACCAATCGGAAGACGCGTACTCGCCATTTGCATTTTGCACTGGTCAATCTGTGTCCATAGAAAGCTTATAAAACCACCGAGACAGCAGTTACCGAAAGAGTCTCCTAAAAACCAAGAAGACAAGAGAAGCATCAGGGCCAGACAATTAGTCGAGACCCACGACAATCATCCCAGTGCGAGAGAACCGCAGAACCCTTAGTGTGGGGATGTTTAGCTTTTAAGTTGGTATGAATGAGAGGTGATGCGTGGTGACGAGTGAATGTGGATGGATGGTGAAACTGGAAAACAAAAGAAGCGCGAAGAACAAGTGAAAGTGTGTGTGTCCGACCGAAGAATGCGTGAATATTCCTTTTCCGCGTGAGAATGTGCGATGAATAATAATCTAGAACTGTTGTGAGAATCCTCGTAAAAATTAATATTATTAATAAATAGTTTAATAAGTGACATCGTCAAGTTTTCATTATCCACCACACTTAGTTCAACCTTAACCAGGTCTAACTAACTCTATACTCTGAGAGTATCCCAGTAACATTGTCGCATCCGCGTAAACGGGCCTTACAACCCCGCGAAACTCCCACCGTACGAGTTGCAGTGTTCGGGATGCAACACTGTACTGATATGTTGAATGTTGCCAACACAAGCGAATACATTTATAATATTTGTTGAAGGTATTACCAACTGTTTTACGTAAATAAGACGAAATATAAACATATGTGTATTAAACCTACTGTGTAATTTTTATCAAAAGTTTAAAAACACTCAGGCTGTACTAAATTTAGTATTGAACAGAATAGATGGATAATGTAAAACTTAAATTAACCAACATTTTCTTCCTGTATCCATTCTGATAGCCTGTAATTATGTTTTTTATTAGCAATGTATAATATAAAAACATTATATATTAATATATATAACAATATATAAAACATTATATATTAGTAAATATAATATATTAATAAATATTTAGCAAAAGAAATTTTAATTTGTTGTATATTTTTTTGATATTGAGATTTTTATGTAGTTTAATTTTCAGTTCAGTAGCATATAACCTAGTAAAGAAATTTATTTCTGTACTCTATTTCCCAAGATATTAAAGACAAATATGTTTTCAACCCACAATTTTAAGCATTATTTTCACAGGTTGAAAAACATATATGTCAAATATTTTTCCTAGTATAAATTATACACAAATTTTACCAGAAGCGATGTATACGAACTTGATATGTTTCCTTTTAAATAATGTCGGAAATCTTTAAATTGTAATGGAATATCATTCGATCGTTTATTAAGGGATAAATATCTTAGATATCTACCGGTGTATACTAAAATAATTTAGTAAACTTCAAATTGCAATATCTGAAACTAGTTTTTTGAAATTAATTTTTGCAAGAGATAAAGACCTTTTAACTTACATATATAATTTTAGTAAAATATATTTAAATACTTAATGTTTATTAATAAATATACTATACTTGTAATATATGGAAATATTTTGCATTTATATTTGTATATCGCCAATAGGTCGTCCTCAATCGGCGACGGTTAATGACGAACCAAATTTCTTCAGGAACGTTGTGTTTATAGTGGACTGTATTTTATGTAGTAGTTCCGGATAACTCTTCTGAACTCCTCGAATGTTATTGACTGACTGACTGGTACTGACTCTCTTGGTGGTTATATAATCCTGGTCTCTCTGCTGATTGGTTGCTATGATGTTGGCAGTGTATGTTAACTTCAGCGTCCTTCAGTGGTGGTTGTTTAAACAATCTAGATAATTGTGCTTGTCTTCTTCAAGGGTGATATATAGTTGTTTGTTGGGGATTATCTAAGTGGTGGCTTCGGTGCTAAAGAAATCAAAGGGCGCTGACAGTAAGGATATTGTTAAGCCTTGGAACGTCGTGCCGGTATTTTGTTCGTCCCTTGGTTAGAATAGACCCAGAAGACCGTTAGAGTCTTCTGGCAGCCAGATTCTAATTGCTGTTTTAGTTCAAGTTCCGTGTCCTTTCTATCTTCATTTTCAATGCATTTTCAAACAATTCTTTATTTCCCTCGGGTCACCGGATACGAGGCATTCTTTAGCCATTAATGTTAGAAAGCAGGCAACAGCACTTAGGATTTGGCTGACAATAGGCCTGCAAAGAAAGGGACCAGGCCATGTGCGATGTCGCGACTTTCGGAGCCATAAAGTAACGGGTCCTTCAGGAAGG